ACACACCAGCTTATAAAATATGTGAAATTATGTGTATTAGCACAAAAAGGTATCTCTAGCCAGTAATGAAAATATTAGTAATGGGTAGATAATACATTACTGTTTGTGTCCACATATATGATATTTATATTGTATATTCATCAGTTTATTACTGTAAAAAGTAAAGCTAACTATTTTCCAAAACTAATCTCATTTATTAAATCTGATGCTTTTTCAACTAAGTATATACAAATAAAAAAAATTCATGAAGATGAACTGTTGGAACCTTATTATCTTTGGGATTATGGAAAGCACTGTGATCCAATTTAGCACATCTGAATTCAACATAGAGATTATTTACATTTTCAAGAGACTTATAACAGGATCTGAGCAACTATTTGAATATAACTTTTTTTTTATGAAATGTGAAAAGTGAAATAAATTTTCAGCCAACTAGATAGATAAGGAAATATATAAGAACAAATAACCTACTTTATGACATTTTCTTGCAATAATGAAGTGCTTGCTTTTCTTGTTTACATAAAATTCCACTGTAATGCATTCTGTGTCTTGTGAAAATTTCTTTAAGGAAGAAAATCCCAGGGAAGAGAAGAGAATAATGCTATGTCAAATGCTTTCTTAAAAAGCTCCTTTTCTTTTTTATATTATTTTTCAGACATTATATTGCAAATTCTGGTAATGACTGCAATTTAAACAGAAACAGTAGCTGCCAAAGTGCAAAATAAAGATGAGGGGGAAGAAAAAGAGAATTTCATGTTCGTTAAAGTTTGAGAGATTATCTTTGTATTTGCATCTTTGGTTTTACTGCTTTCTGGACTTGTTATTGAAAACATTCCCTTTTACAATATGACAACCAGTCTTTTACTATCCATATATCCAATTTCCTTTAAAATATAAATATCTCTGCACCATCATATATGCAAAAAAATAGGAAACCAATCATTTGGTTTAGATAGACTATTCTAATACTTGTTGTATCTACAATATAGATATTTGCTCAAGTTCAAATATTGCTAATTCAACCATTTTGGTGCTTATGGATTATACAACAAAATTGCTTTGAGATATCAGAATTGAAAAACATTACCATGTCATGAAAGATAAATCAAAATAAACTTGACATTGCACAGCTATACACAGTTTAAAGGCGGTATCTGAATGAGAACGAAAATAATTTAGACAGAATCACATCATGAACTTTAGGAATTGTTATTAGTTATGACAGTTTTATTATATGAAACTTTCCTGAAAAAATGACCATTCTTTTCTAACAGTTTTGATCTCCTAATATAGTACAAAAAAATTCATATACCAATTCCATAAGGAGTATTCTCAACAGTTACGTGAGTATCAATATAAATTTGACCAGTATTTTAAACATTCACAGTGAGGAGAGGTCCGTTTTCAGTACTTGAGACATTATTACATACCAGTATTTTATATTTTGGTTTATATATTGAAGTCACAAAGAAAATATTTGCTTACATAAGAAATTTAAGAAATGTATTAGTAAGGACCTTTAGTAATTTTAAAGACTTAGAAACAATTTGGAGACTAATAATCATACCATTCTACATATTAACTGAATTTCAAAATAGAAAATATTAATGATATATCAAAGGAAACTATGTTTTGGAGAGTGTACACTTTGGGCTTCACAGCACGTACTACACAGTATGAGTATCCAGATTTAAATTGTAGTTTCTTTTTAATATAGTAATATCTCAATATGTTTACATCTTTAAATATTACATTGGTAGATAATACATTCCTTAAATTTTCTTAAGCTAGCCTTCTTACTTTAAAAGCAAATGAATCATTAATGAATGATTAATCTTCCTAAAATTTAAACATTAGGAACACCATCCCCTTAAACATTACTCAAATTTCATATTTGACATTTCTCTCCACTAACATACCTTTTGAAATATGCTTTAAAAATAAGTTCTAAATATACTGATAACTACTTCTGTGACTCAATAGAGCTTTTGTGAAAACACAGCGCATACTGATTAATGTTGATACCAAATTAAATTTTCATAATTTTCAACCCAAAGAATTCAACATTCATCACTTCTTGAATGTTGTTCTCAATGTATGTGTGTCAGAAATTCTTGATGGCTACATTATGGATATTTATATTTCAGTAGTATAGCTAAGTGCCTTATCATTGAACTTGATTACTGACGTTGATGAATTATGTGGTATTAAATAATTAATTTTGCTATTAAAGTAACAAAAGATTTTTGGATAAAAATGAAATCAGAGAATTTAACTATTATCTTGTCAGCTAATAATGTAGAAATTTATATAACATTTTCTATGAAGTAAAATTTCATAAATTGCCAAATATTCTTGAACATCAAAATTATGATGATCTGTCTTCTAAAATTGAAGAAAGGGGCCTCCTTGGTGGTGCAAGGGGTTAAGATTCAGCACTATGAAGCTATTTGCAGCCAATGAGGCATGAGTTCGATCCCTGGTCAGGGAGCTAACCCACATGACAGAGCAGATTTCTTCTGTCTTGCCTGCTGCTCCCCTCACCAGTATATTTCACTCAATCTGCCTATTCTGCTCCCCACTCTGTCTCTGGTTAATCCTCTCACCCTCTGCACTTCTGGCCTGTACCCCAGTTTTTGTATGCATAAATAAATACATAAATCTTTTAAAAAAGAAAATAATAAAATTGAAGAGAAACAAATAACATGTGACCTGAAATTGTTAATTGATATATGCAGTATACTATATAGAGGATAGAAATTTTGAACATGTTATTCAGTTTTAAATGGATGATAAATCATTCATGAAATTTCCCTCTTTTCTTTAATATCTAAAGTCCCTTAAGGATACTTGTAACTACTGGATTTCTTTTATTTCCAAATGACCATAAAATTAACACAATTGACAGATATTATTAAATTATCTTAATCCTGAAATGTAAACGTAATATGAAAAGATTGGGGATATTGTTGCCCGCCAGCAAAAAGGTCTCATTGGAACTCAATGATAAAATTCTTATAAGGTGAATTGTTACTTAATTTCCATAGCTTTCTCAAAATGTAATGTTGATGCTACCTCAAAAATTATTCCACTTATTCATCTAAATCTTTGGCAACATTCATAATTCCTTTCAGGCAAAGAAATTATTAGGAAATAATTGTTAGTTACACCTTGTATTAGTAGTATAGAGCTTCTTAAAGAAAAACAGGCTAATTTTTCTTTGGTTGCATTTATCATTTTTCTAGCTGCTTGTGTTGAGAGATCAGGGAATTCTGAAGCTTTCTTAGGTGGCTCCTTTCAGATTACCTGGAAAAATCCTCATTATTCTTTACTATACATTATAAATCCTTCTACTGTGTTATCTTTGTTTTGAATTACTCTCCTTGAACCTTTCAAAGTTTAGCATTGTTTATATTCCCCTTGCCTATTGGCAAGGATTTATATGCATTTCAACTGTCACAACAAATTATATAGCCTTTCAGGAGATTGAAACTACAATTGGCCACCTAACTCCATCATTCCTTCTCTTAACTTTTTTCCCCATAGCTCTTTCTAGGAACTGCAGAGACAAGAAATCCAAAAGATTTTAAGCATAATTGAAACTTTTTATTGCATTTTATCAACTAACAGATAATGTGTGCATCATCATCAAAGTGATTTTGCTTTTTCTTTCAGTAACTTATTTTATGACACAATGCCATTACACAAATTATACTTTAGCTAGTTGTCATTCATGTGTTACTTTAGTTCATATGCTACTAATTGTTAGATCAGTCACACAAAAGAAAAGTCCATTAGTAATTTCAAACCATTTTGTATTCTTTCCTTTATTCATATTAACTGTTGTTCCATTTTAATAGTTGGTTTTCAGAAACCATATAACATTAGAGAACAATTTCACTTAGTGTGAAAAAAAAATGAACTATGCTTAGATTTGTAGAACTGTTATTCATTATATTATAATTTTTAAAGTTAATTTTGTATTTTGTTCTCTACTTGTAAATTGAAGCTAATGATAGTTTTCTCAATTTAAAAAACAGGTATTATTTGGATTTCTTATTTACTCATTGAATGTTGATGGTGGAAAAGACTATGACTGTGTAGTGGCAGAGATAAATGGGCACTGCTCATTGTCTGTACAACTTCGTTACCGATTTACAAGAACTCTAAAATATAAAATCTAAAAAAATATATTCTTCCTAGTAGTAACAGACATGTTAACTATGTTCATCAGTTATGACTAAGCTTTATTAAAAAGCAGTAAAATTAGTAATCTAATTTAAACAAACCTAATAAACATTTCTAAATTAATAACAAAATATTTTAACAGAATATATTTAGCCATTAATAAAATAAAACAATATAATTTGGATGTACTATGTAAAGAATTTACCACATGATCCAGCAATTCCACTTCTAGGTACTGACCCAAAGAATATTAAAAAAGTAACCTGAAGGGATATATGTACCTCTTTGTTGATTGTAGCACTATTTACAATAGCCAAGCCAATCTAAGTGCCCAAAGACAGAAGAGTGGATTAAGAGATGTGCTTTATATATTTATACAGTGACATGCTACTCAGCTATTAAAAAGAAGATAAACTTGCCATTTATGATAATGTGGATAAAACTGGAGGAATTACATGAGGTAGAATAAGTCAGAAGGAGAAAAGCAAATATAGAATGGAGTCGCTTATATGTAGAGTATAGAGAAATAGAGTCAGATAAATACAAACCAATAACAAATTTGAGAGATTTGTATGTAGAACTGAGTTGCCAAGAGGGAAAAGGGGAAGGGAGAGACCAAAGTAAGGAGAGTACACAGAAGACTATGGTGGAGGAATTATGGGAGATTTGGCAGTGGGTGGTAACAAAATCTGGAGGGGAAGATCCTATATCTCCAAACCATATACTATGTTTTAAACTAGTGTTACATCAATTAAAAAAGAATAATCAAAAAATAAATCAAAAAAGAATTCTAAATTATTTATAAAACTTACATGCTTTGTGAAATTTTTGTTTAACATCATGGATAGTAGAAGTTTGTGACACCTGAAAAGGAAAAGAAAATAGAATTATTAGGAAAAAGGGTTCCTTTGTTTGTTATAGATTTGTTTAAGAAAAAAGCATAATTTGGGCTTTCCTGGTGATGCAACGGGTTGAGCACAGCACTGTGAAGCTGTCCCAGCCTCTGCAGTGCCAGTTCAATTCCCGGCCAGCCAGGAGGATTCCCATATGGCGCAGCAGAACTCTCCTGTTTCCTGCTGCTCCCCTTAGCAGTGCTTTGTTCTGTCTGCCTGTTCTGCTCTCCACTCTGTCTCTGGTAAATCCTCTTACCCTCCCTCACCTCTGGGCTGTACCCCAGCTACTGTATAAATAAAATAAATCTTAAAAAAAAAAAGAAAAGAAAAAAACATAATTTGTTCAATGTACATCATTACAAACTTGCCTTATTGCATTATTTAAGTAGTTTAGTCATTAATGCTTTAACAATCATGAAACATTTCATCTAAATACCTTTATATTATTTTTTTTTGTATTTCCAATAATGTTGTTATGAGTTCATCCTAACTTTTATCCCCAATATAATCATGTGCTGGTATCTCTCTATCAATGATCAATATTGTGGGTGGACAGTCCAGTGATTCTTTTGATTACACGACAATCTTTAGCAATAACCATCAGGTAATTCTGAAAAATAGGGAGGGAATTTATTTCTCACAAGGCCTACAAATTACATGGGACCACAAAACAAAGTGTTAAAAGAGAGAGAGAGAGACAGAGAGAAGCAGGCATGCATGTGGTCCCAACCATGCATGTGGTTCAACTTTTATTGAGACAAATGTTGAGAACCTAGGAATTTGTGTACTCACTTTATTGGTGAATTTAAAATACAAAAGCATAAGGCCATGTATTTATTACATGAATAAAACAAACAAACAAAAAAACATATGCACCAAATGGCCTATTATTGAAATCAACCAAGATATCTAAATCAGATGGTTCAAGGTGGCCTCACTCTATGTAGTTCTGTGAGTGGCAATGTTTTTATTCAAGATAACCAATTTTGAAATGGATGCCTGGCAATTAAAGCTTAAATTAAACACTTGTGTGACTAAAAAAAAAAAAGGAAAATAAATCAAGTATCAGGGCTCACATTACTATATATATAGTAGTAGCTCACACTTCTATATATATTTGTGTATATATATAGCCATTAATAAAATAAGTAAATATATAAATATATATATTCTTTTTATTGAGGTAACATACTATATGATTGGAGTCATCACCCTTTCAGATGTTATAAATATCCTCACCTGCCACCAAGATACCTGTAGCCCTACACAGTAGTCCATTGTGCTCCTCCCCCCAAAAATTCTCCACCTACACCTCTGCCAGATTTCTAAGGTTTGTTATATTCAATTTCTTGTGAAAAAATAAACAAGGATCGTAAAAAATAAAAAAATAATAATGAGCTAAAATGTAAATGTATGAGAAATATAATCGGTGAAATAGTATAACACAAAGTAGCTGATGATATAGAACAAATTTATATGTTCATAAGAGGACAATGTTTACATCATAATAGCATGAGAAAAAAAAAAACACCTATATAGGCACAAATATTGTGAGTTCTATTCCCAATCACTATACCAGTGTAACTACTATAATAAAGTATCACATTAATTTTTTAGTATGCAGTGCATATACAAGTTATATTTACAATAAACTGTAGTCTATTATGTGTACAATAAATAGCATTGTTTCTAAAAAAATCTGCATATATTTTAATTTAAAAATACTTTATTACAAAGAAAAGTGGTCACCAGGGGCCTTCCTGGTGGTACAAGGGTTAAGACACAGCACTATGAAGCAATCCAAAGCCACTGCAGCATGAGTTTGATCCCCAGCCAGGGAGGTGACCCACATGGCACAGCAGACCTCTCCTGTCTCACACACGGCTCCACTCAGCAGTGTATTTCAGTAGATCTGCCTGTTCTGCTCCCCACTCTGTCTCTGGTGAATCTTCTCACCCTCCACACCCCTGGCCTGTATGCCAGTTCTTGTATGCATAAATAATCTTTTTTTTAAAAAGTGCTCACCATCATCTGAGAGGTAAGGGAGTAAACATAAAGGTTTTGCTGATGAAGGATCTTACCTGTTGATAACTGCTGACTGACTATGAAGGTGATTGTTGTAGTCTCTTTGGCAATTTACTAAAATAAGAAAACAATGAAGTTTGCTGCATCAACTGACTCTTCCTTATATGAGAGATTGCATTATACCATGATACTTCTTTTTTTTTAAATCTTTTTTTTTTATAGAGGCATGTTTTATTTATTTATTTATTTGTTTGTTTATTTATTTATTTGTTTGTTTGTTTGTTTGTTTATACATGCACTGGGTACAGTCAGAAGCGCGGGAGGGTGAGACAATTCACCAGAGCCAGAGCAGGGAGCAGAGCAGGCAGAAGGACCGAAGTACACTGCTGAGGGGAGCAGCGGGCAGCAGCAGAGGTCTGCGTGCCATGTGGGACCTTCCTCCGGTGGCCGGGGAACAGCCAGGGATCGAACCGGCACTGCAGAGGCTGCGGGCAGCTTCGCAACCCAGCGCTCAACCGCTGCGCCACCGGGGAGGCCCTACATGATACTTCTTAATAACATTTTATGGACAGTAGGATTTTTTTGTTGTTGTTGTTGGAGGAAATAGGTGCCTTAGTAGTGTGTGTGGTGTGATAACACACACATGAAGAGTGTGAACCTGTATCTTTAAATGGTATCCTGTAATTCCCCCCCAGTTAGTTTATTATTATAATTCCTATGCAAAAATACTATAGATCCACTGAAATCCATGTGAAATATACTATTTGATTTTTTTTTATGAATTAAAGCAGTGTGTATATATATTTTTAAAGATTTATTTATTTATTTATACAAGCACTAGTTACAGTCAGAAGTGCAGGAGGGTGAGAAAATTCACCAGAGCCAGAGCAGGGAATAGAACAGACAGACCGATGAAACACACTGCTGAGGGGAGCAGTAGGCGGCAGGAGAGGTCTGCGCACCATGTGGGACCCTTGCCAGGGGCCAGAGATAGAACTGGCGCTGCAGAGGCCTTGGGCAGCTTGGTAGCCCAGCGCTCAACCGCTGCACCACCAGGGGAGGCTCTACTATTTGAATTTTTTAAGAGAAGTTTGACCAATTATTTTATCCTAATTTATTAAAATTAACTTTTCTAATATTAGAAAAATGAAAAAAGAAATATTTTTAACCAAATTGAAAAATTTATGAGCCTAATTCCCATTCAAATAGTTCAAACCACTATGGTACTATTTTGACTTTCTGATTTTGTTCATATCAAACTTGCAAACTGAAAGGGATCTATAATCACTTTCATTGGGTTATAAAAAACCCAATAATCCTTAGGTGTATACCTCAAAACAGATTTTCATGATCATGCAAGAAAAATGTTTTCATTCTCTAAACTTGCTTATAATATTTTCTGCATGATTTAGTTTATTGTTTTGTTATAATGAAATATCCCTTTATGGCTACTTTGTGAGGATAAAATGAAAAAAAAATGTATAAAGTGCTGACATGTAATAATCCCTCAGGTAATTTTAATATAATATGTTTAATATTTTATTACATTTTAAAATGTTCTATTTCCTGATTAATAAAACTATAACCACAGGGGAACTTCATCATTCAGAGTTGTTTGTTTTTTCTGATTTCTTCTGTATGCATGATTTACTAAATAAGAAAGTTCTAAGCCAAACTCAGGAGAATGATATTAATTCCCATCTGTGTTATGCTTAAATAACAAAAGGATCCCAAAGGATTATGTGAGTATGAAGTTTGATAACATAGTTCTTATGTAGATGAGAGAGAGCAATATGCATTCATGTATTTGCACACTTTAATTTTGATTATAGAAGTTTGATATTTGAGTTATATTTTAAAACTATGATAGTTTAATAGTGCTCATTGTTTTCATTGTTATTTAATTGCAAAGTAATTAATTTGTTTCCTCTATTAAGGATGTTTAAAATGCTCATGCTATTCTTTTGCTTAATATATATTTACCCATTTATCATTTCAAGAGCCATCTAATTTGGGAAAAAAGGTAAAATTTATTGTTAACACCTCTTCAAATTGAGCTTGCTATGTGTTCAGCTGTCACTTTGTGAAGGCACATTGTCTTGCTGATTGTTCCAACAATCTATGAGAGCCTTGAGAGCAATGACCTAGTTACTGGAGTATGTGTGTCAACATGTAGTATACCATATATCATATGATAAAGCTTTTTTTAAATTTATCTTTTTATTTATGCATACAAGAACTGGAGTACAGGCCAGAGATGTGGGGCGTGAGGGGATTCACCAGAGAGAGAGTGGGGAGCAGAACAGGAAGATCTACTGTAATAAGCTGCTGAGGGGAGAAGCAGGAGAGAAAGGAAAGGTCTGCTGTGCCATGTGGGTTAGCATTTTGACCAGAGATGGAACTCATGCCCAAGTGGCTGGCAATAGCTTGATAGCTGAGACTTTACCCCTGCACCACCAGAGAGGTCCCTAATAAAGTTTCAATTAACTTTTGTGGAAGTCAAAAATAAAGTTGTGAGTTCAAATTCATATGAGAACAGAGTAAAATAAAAGTTTCTTAATCTGCTATGAGAACAGAGTAAAATAAAAGTTTCTTAATCTGCTATGAAAAGTCCTTCACAAGTAGATTGTGAAAAAGCTTTATGTTTTTCTTCAAACTATAATAACTTAAATGGCAAACTTCCAACTTGACATACATTTTTTCTCTGAATTTGCAAAATTTCAAATTTAAGATCATGATCTCCTGAATGAAGCCTTCGAGTAGAAGTGTGTTGTTTTAATAAGCTTTTAGCAAAGTTTTTTTTCATATTTTCTTTTTTCATATCTAAAATTGCATGTGACTTTCACAAGTTAGAAAAGTGCTGATTTTGAATAAATCTTTGAGAACTATCCTTTCTGGAGCAATTTTAGTCAAATACATGGGAAAATAATAACCATTAAATGATTC